AAGGTCAAGTTCTCACACCTGTGCTTAACCAATTATATGTTAGTCACTAAGGGTCTTCAAGACATGTATCCAATCATAATATGCCAAATCACTGTAAGTGCATGTAAGAAATAGTATATAAGGGGTTAAGGCTTTGCAATAAATGGCTTTTGTCTGATCATATTTATCTCTGACTGGGTCCATATTTTCTGCAGCACCATACTTACTGAGTTGTCTCATAAATTCAGCCTCTTACCTAGCTACCTCATCAACGGGAATCTCAGTGGGAAGAGCTGATATCTGATCTGTTTCTATATTTAACAGCATATTTCATCACAGGAGAATATTTTATTGATCTAGCTCCCCTGAAACTGTTGGTTTTTTGCTTTTTTGTTTGTTTTTTATTTATTTTTTTTACAGTAAGCTACATTCAAAATAGCAATAATTTCAAATATTTTTGCTGGAAGACATAAGAAAAAAATTTCTGATCTTCTTCCAGGTGGATTAAGCAGGATCTGCCACAGGGAGAGAGAGGGACAGCAGGAAAAAGGGCTTCTCCTTTTAAATGTTATTTAATTTAAAAAAACACCCCAGCAATCTTTGAAATTAAGATACATGAGGATGGAGATGATGATAGGAAACATCCACAGCAGGGTGATCCATGGGCATTGCACCACAGTGGAGATAGGGACACCCTGGCCATCTGCACCCTCTTTTGATAAGTACCAGAAAGAGTTAAAAGACCAAATGCTCTTCACCCCCACACAGCTCTCCAGTTTATATATATATATATATATATATATATATTTTTTTTTTCTTAAAAAACACCATCCCTGCTGGGACAAAAAAGCTTAATAAGAAAGCTGCAGACTGACAGAAGGCCCCCTCTCCACCCAGACAGCCAGGGATAACTTGGCCAATGTTTAGTAAGTTACAATGTTACATATCTCTTTACCTTTTGATCCACTTAATCAACAAAATTTCAAAGAAACAAGCAAAAGGATGAAACAACAACAAAAAAGAATGCCTCCAATTTGTGTTTTGTTTGACTGCAAATATTCATGTCTGCCTAAAGATGGCATGTAATTAACATGCCATAATCAAAATAACAAAGCTTGACACGTTATAACCATTGCATAGAGATTATAAGATATCCAAAGGTGATCTTCACAGCCTATCTTAATATCATTTGCATAATGAAAGAATGGTGACAGTAATAGATTGTTTTTTCTTGTTACCACAATTTAACCCATAACTGCAAAGGACTTTGGTACTGTCAGATGTTGCCCATTAAAAGTCACTGCAGGTTACAGACTCCAGTCCAAGTGACCCAAGTATTTTCATATGAACAATCCTGGCATGGCTGCATGAAAATATAATAAGAACTTTTGGGTTTTGGTTTTTTGTGGGTTTTGTTGTTGTTGTTGTTGTTGGTTGGTTGGTTGGTTGGTTTTTATTTTGGGCTCCTGATGTTTCTTACCTGCTGTCATTGTCTAAGCCCAGCCAGTAACTCAGAACCACGCAGCCATTTGCTCACTCCCCAGTTTCTTCCTCCCCCTGCTCCCAGAGGGATGGGGAGGAGAATTGAAAGAATGTAACTCCCACGGTCTGAGATAAGAACAGTCCAGTAACTAAGGTATAACACAAAACCACTGCTGCTACCACCAATAATAGTAATGATAAGGGAAATAACAAGGGGAGAGAATACAAAACTAAAAGGGAGAAAGAAAAAGAAAACAATAAACACAAGTGGTGCATAATACAATTGCTTACCACCCACCAATACCCAGCTCAACCTGAGCAGCAATCTGATCCTTCCGGATAACTGCCCCCAGTTTCTATACTGGGCAGGACATGCTGTGGTATGGAATATCCCTTTGGCTAGTTTGGGTCATGTGCCCTGTCTCTGCTTCCTCCCGGCTTCCTGTGCCCTTCCTCCCTGGCAGAGCATGAGACTGAGAAGTCCTTGATCGGAGTAAACATGACTTAGCAACAACTAAAATCATTGGTGTTATCAGTGTTGTTCTCAGGCTAAAGTAAAAACCAGAGCACTGCACCAGCTACTAAGAAGGAGAAAAAAATGAATGCTACTGCTGAACCCAGGACAACACAATATTAATAATTCAGCTGATGCCTGACTTGTTTTCAAGTGTCTTCACTGGAGACAGGGCACCTTTGCTGTACTTTGTCAGCCAAACGAGATTACATAGAACAACAGTGTCTGTTGACACAGCAAACTAAAAATGTAATAGACATTTGTCATTAACTGTCCTACACTTGAAATTAAGCCTTTTGAGCTTAACTTCAACTAGGCTTTGGTCTATCACCCAGGCAACTTTCAACCCAGTGCTCTCAATCCAAACACAATTAAACTATTTATAATTAAAATACTTACACTGCTACTGTCAGACTAATTCCTTTCCTACCTCTCCCCCGTTTTTAAAGTAGGTAACTTTAAGCTGTTTTTTCCTTCCCACTTCTAATATGACTTCCTGGTATTGGCAAATAAGTATTTTTGAAAGAAATCCTCCTTAATATTCTTCCTCTGGGCCTCACAAGAACATAGTGTTTTCTCCACATTAAACAAGCATGGCTGAAGTTTGCCATGCAAAGGTCCACCAACTTTAGATTTAAACATTTTTAGAACAGGAGACAAAAATTCAGTAAATTAGACTCTGCTGAGAAGCAAAAGCCTGGGAAGCACAAATCTGGTTTTGCATCTCTTGTCAAAACTAAGGCTCAACATAGTCACTTTAGAAGCAACCTGAGTTCAAGACTGAAGAAGTGATGCAACTTGTCCTGCCACTGGCACTGGACATCAGTACTTTGACTGGCAGAGAAGAAGACAGATGAAGTCATACTCCTTAATGTACCACAGGCATTCTGCATTTAGATGCTTGAGCAGGCACTGTTCAGATTTTGAGGAAGCAGAATAGCAGTCGGGTAAGTCAGAAAGGCACTGGATTAAGAAACAGGAGTAGGTTAAAATTACTCAAGAACTACCAAAGGCATCTAAATGAAATACAGGCAGGCAAACATTTTGAATGCAGATAAAGTAAAACAACAACAACAACAACAAAAACAAGTGACTTTTACACAGACTGAGGTGGTCTTGCATGCAGGCAGCACCACACATCCACAGGTAACATCTGTGACATCCTTGTACGCTACTTGCAAGCGCACTGCAAAAAAGGGTACAAAAGGGTACAGTCAAGGTTATTACCATGTTCAAGGCAAAGCAAGTAATACTGCCATAACTGAAAGAACACATACAGAAATCTACAGTAAGGAGACTACAGAATTAGGTCACTGATTCAAATTGCAACCTACTTAGAAACATGATGGGAATTTTTCACACAGACAAGTTGTTCCTATCTGTTTCACAGGTGAAAGTAAACATCTGAGCTAGTTGGAGGTAATTTGATTGTGGTAGAAAAAAGCAAATGCATTAATAAACTTGATCTAGAGCAGAAGTCTGTATCAGTCAACACACGCAGGTCTGGAACCTCCATGATAGCTGCGTAAGAAGCAATTTTAATACTTAAACTATACCTTTCCAGCCACAACATGCAGGACACTTGTGCCATTTATTTGAGTGGGTTAGACTGATTCCTAACATTCAATAGAAAATATATACAGCAAATAATAAAAATTAAAATAAAATAACCATGAGAATTAAAACCTTTATTAGCGTATTCACATTAGGCAAATGCAACACACATGAAGCTTATTTCTTAGGTTCACAAGTTCTACCAATAAATTAGTCTACTGGTAAAATTAAGCACAAAATGGTAACTGCTTTGTCAATTTTTTAAAGGTATCTGGCTCACTTTTCCAAGGCTTAATTTTTGGTATTGCTTCTATGCCTTAGTCATTATGACATAAAAATATCCATCACTATCATCAGTTTGGTCCACTGATTAGAATCTGTAACACTGGCCACATTTTTGTTCTCAAAGCTAAGATATCACTAGCTGTATTTGCAAAGTACAGTGTTGGTGTAACGGATGCAGCAATGGGAAAAACAAAGGCAATCCTGCTACTGCCACAATAAAAAAAGTATGATAGACACCTAGATGCAAGATGTATATTTTTCAAGTCAGAAAAACCCTTCTATGGAGTTTCCCAACCCTTCCCCAACCCAGACTTATTTGAACATATTTCATAATATTTTTAATATAGTGCAGCTGTAGTGTCCAAAGTGTTCACAATAACATGCACTGTCACAAAGAACCTAGAAGTCTTCCTTTGCTGATCACCAACCACTCAGCAACCACTATCCTAGAGGTTTTGCAGAAGCAACTACTTTTAATAACAAGGCCCATTATGACATAATGAATGCATATGATCTGGTATGTAAGCAAACTATATAAAGCTGCTCTGATCAGAAATTTAAATTCTGTTACTGAAATATGTTAAGAAGCTGCATCTATTTAAAACCTATACAAAAGAGTCTAGTTTACCCTGGGAAAGGATTTTTCAAGGTATTTGGCTCCAAACACTAAACCCCATTATTTTGAGTGATATCTGTTTAATAAAAAAAGATACAAATTTAAGGGGTAAACCAACACCCTTGCTTACTTAATCTGGTATCCAATGCTATGGCAAATTCTTATTCCATAAGAAAAAAATGCTGATTTCAATGATTCAAGGTACAAAAGTCCCAAATTACATCAGTACCAGCAACGCTGCTGGCAACAGATGCATCAACTCAGATGGGTAGGGAAAAGTAGACTCCTAATGTGATGGATACTCAGAATTTATAATATGAATTCATTTTAGGCCCCATTAAGTATATAAAGTGTCTTAAGATTTCACAGATGAATCTTCAGACATTTCTTTCCCTTCCAATGGAGGTGTTTTCTTTAAGAAGGCAGCAAAAAGTTAAGCTTTTCATAGAATCCTAGAATAGTTAGGGTTGGAAGGGACCTTAAGATCATCCAGTTCCAACCCCCTGCCATGGGCAGGGACACCTCGCTCTAAACCATATCACCCAAGGCCTCGTCCAACCTGGCCTTTTCTACAAGTCTGCTTTTTATGTTTAGGACATCTTGAAAATCTGCTTATATAAAAAAATATAAAAGAATAAAGGAGTCTTGGAATTTTTGCCCCAATCAAAACCCAAATAACTATTTATGGGAACTAAAATGTATTCCAGGAAAATACTGTGATATTCAAGATCAAGGTCATTACCTGCACATATACTTAACTGTTCATGTTATTGATAAATTATTAGAACACTGAATTATATACCTAATAAAAACACCAGTCTTTAGAACTGTCCCTTCTTTCTGAACAAGGCATTTCTATACACTAAATTTTCATGTAGTATCAGAATATAGGAAAGAAAATCTACAAGGTGCTTTAATTGATGAGACCTTAAGTGCCTCTAAAAAAAAAAAAAAAAAAAGGCAACCCCCCCCAAAATAAACAAAAAACAAAACCAAACCTTTTTTTGATAGTAAACAGTTCATGGGGATCACACACAAATACTATGACAGCTATTATACTAAGTCTAGTAATTGGACTGGATATTTATCCCACTTGTAATGGAGGAAGGAGTTCTATGACATGCTGGAGCAGCGTACTGAAGGGGAGCCCATCTGAGTCAATACTTTGTCCAACCATTGTAGAGGCCCATTCAGATGAAGTTCAATCCAGCAAGGAGTGCTTGTTACTGTTTGCCGCCTAGAAAATAAAGAATAGTAAAGTCAGAATGCAATGTTGGCTGCCATAAAATTTTCCATCAATATTTTTCATCCATATTTCCATCAAATATTTTTTCATAAACACCTACTACACAAAAAAATATAAAAATTCACAACCATTACCACAACTGCTACTAAACTTTTTTCACACAGTCTCAGTGGGGGAGGGGGAGAATGCCACACATACCAACAAGAAAAACCTCCAAAACAACTCACATTTATAAGACATCAATAATTACATGCTTGTCTATAATACATCGAGAATATTCCACTCTGGAGAATAAGGTAAGAACTGCAACATTTGGTTCAAGTGCCACACCAAGAGCCTTACAGCACAATACCATGGTGATCATAAGGTCTGGCTTTTTGGAGCAAATGACAAAATAAATGTATATGGAAACTGCTAGATATTGTCAGAAACACTATGTCAAAACTGAGATTGTGGTTATACTGTGCTATGTGATGCTATCTCTGATTTCATGTCATCTTACACTTCTACATGTGTTTTATACTGTAACATCCTCACACAATTTCAGTAGTAGCTGTGCTTTCCCTTGTCCCCTATATAAACTCACCCACAATTTTCCCTTAATTAAACACCACATAGTAAGTCTCAGTAAAGCTGAAGGGCTGACAACCATAAAAGCTTCATTCACTTTCCCATATATCTTTGTTTCAGAGACCTGCTATTCAAAAACCTTCCTTCTCATCTCAAAGTAAACAAATCAGTATTTAACATACTCTGCCTGGGAACCCCTGTAATTAAGTCCCAGGCATGGAAGTTTTCCTAAACTACACTGGCAAAACTGCTGTTGTTAAGCCACTTTTTCCTAGTAATTCTAGATATTCCAAAGAAAGCAAGGAGGCATTAAGCAAATTAGTCAGACACAAACTTAGACCATTCATTTTTATTGTCAACACTGCAACAACCTTTCACTTTAAGAAAATCTCTTTATAAAAACAGAGGAACTAAAAAGGCAGAAAGATTAAGGCAGCAAGAGGATGGATTTCAGAAGTTGTCTGTGGTTTCACATTTTCTAGGGCAAAGCAGCTGCTGTCTGTGCTCTCCCAGCACTCTAAAAACCATTGTTATCTCTGCATTGAATGCCTGTACCAAAACAAAGTGATACAATAGAAGAACAATCTAAACCACAGGAAATATAAATTCATTTAGTCTCAAATTCTCTCTCGAAGAAGGAAACTTATTATTCCACTGCTGTCAACTCCCCAATAATGTGTTCTACAACAAACTTCCTCAAAATTTTATAATTGACTCTGTTCAATAAACCTGGTTTTGCACTGCAATGGAAAAAGTTGATAAAACAGTGACAGTCACTTAGCAGCCATCTCATAGCTAGAACTCTGCCTCTTCTAACCATAGATTTCCAATTCACACATCACAGTTTCTCTGCTGTAATTACCTCTAACTTTCTTCAGAAGATGATCCAAGACCTGGACAGTTCCTGTACCAAGGTGAACACTTGACAGCTTATCTGAATTTCTACCACCATCTTCAATTCAAGCCAACATGTCTCAAGAAAAAAGATATAGGCTATTCTGTCTACAGACTTATAAAAATCTACCACTCTGCCATAGCTGCACATGTATGCACATATGACATATGTCTAAAATGTCAATAATGCCTTGGCTTTACGAAAGCCTGCTCTATGAGAAAAAAGTTTTTGACATAATGAGGCAGGGAAATTTTAATGAGAATGATGATTTTACACTGCTTCCTGGTTGTTGTGGTTTAAACCCAGCCAGACAGCTCATTCACTCACTCCCTCCCCCTTTCCTCCCTCTTTCTTTCCTTTCCCCCCCTCCCTCTTTCCCACTCCCGGAGGGATGGGGAGGAGAATCAAAAGAACGCAACTCCCACGGGCTGAGATAAGAGCAGCCCAGCAACCAATGTACAACACAAATCACCACCGCTACCATCAATAATAATAATGATAAGGGAAATAACAAGGGAAGAGAATATGATACCACCTACTGAAACAAGTCCGACCTGGAAGAGCCCATGTCCTTCTGGGTCACATGAGAGTGAAGGCTTACAATCTTACTGCAATTTGGGATGTGCATTCTCCAGAACCAGAATGCACCCAAGAAAGCTTGTGTTTTTTTCTTATTAGTTGGTGGAGACATTGCTCATATCTTGTTGATTACATCTGTGGGGATCTGTCTATGTCCATCTTGCCATTTTTTTCCAAAAAACTGAATCTCCTGTGCAGGTCCCTTGACCTTCCTTCGTTTTATGGCAAAACCGGCTTTCAGCAGGATTTGGATTATTTTCCTCCCTTTCTCAAATACTTCCACCCCTTGACAGCTTGATGGCATCAGGGTACACTGTGCACCGGTATCTACTAGAGCCTTATACTTCTGTGGGACTGATGTGCTAGGCCATCTGATCCACACAGTCCAGTAAATCCGATTGTCCCCTACCTCCACCTGGCTGGAGGCAGGGCCCCTCTAATAGTCATCACAGGATTGGACACTTAAGTCATGTTGAAAGCGATTATTTTTAGTTATCACAGGAGCTGGAGTGAAATCAGCTCTTCCACTCCACCTGGGAAACTGCTCACCAGAAACTGAAGCCATAGCTCTCATGGGACGATCAGTCTTGGCCCTTGCTCCCCTCTTCCATTCACTCACCCATTCCTCCAAAGCTGAGGTAGGTTTTCTGTCCCACTTTCTCATGTCTTCTCCATGATCCTGCAGGTAAAACCATAGGGTAGACCGTGGCGTATACCTCTTGTATCTCCTCTCTCGAACAGTGGGACGCCTTTTGTTAATAGCTGAAATGTGTGTTGGTACACGCGAGGAGCTGGATAAGTCAGATATATCGTCCCTCAATTGTTTGAGATCCTGGGACAGTTTTTCCACAGCTGAGATGATGGAAGGGGTGAGATTGTCTTCGAACTCGCGGAGTTTATGAACCATTCCATCCACTGTTAGTGGTACTATGTCATTCCAGGTTACTGTTTCCAATGAATGGGCATATGATGACGGTGCATTCTGTGTTAGTTTTCGCCACATGGGTTGTGAGGAACTTTTTCTCTCTTACAATTGCTTTGTCAATTCCCCCTTCTCTAGCAAGTAATCCCAGCTGCTTGGCTTCTGTACCTTCTAGTTCGTGACCATCGGCCCCATTGTCCCAGCATCGGAGCAACCAGGTGATGATGTGCTCCCCTGGTTGACGGGTAAAATCTGTTTGCATATTCCATAGCTCGGTTGAGGTCCGAAGTCGAGAAGTCACCTCTCCTTCTTCTTCTTCATCATGTGATGATGACTCCTGATCAGGTTCTGGATCGGGTAGTGAATACATTGTTTCTTCATCTTGCTTTAACCTTCTTGCCTCCTTTTTGCTTTTTCTCTTGCGTACAGGGGCAACCGATATTGGCACGAATTGCTCCTCTGGTTTAGTTGCAGTGATTATCACTGTGGTTTGAGTAGCGACTGTACTTGTTGCTGGGGGTGGTGGAGCTGCTGTGCTTGGAGCTGGGATAGCTGCGCTGTCTGTTGCAGTCGAAGTTTGAGCAGCTGCTGTACTTGACGCTGGGGTAGCTGTGCTGTTCATTGCAGCCAAAGTTTGAGTAGCGACTGTACTTGTTGCTGGGGGTGGTGTAGCTGCTGTGCTTGGAGCTGGAGTAACTGTACTGACTGTTGCTTTGCCCTCAGATCCAGCAACATTTTTTGCCTTTTGAAGGTGCTGGAAAGCATTGAACATGGCCCTGTAAGCATAGGCCAAGCCCCAGCACGTTGCCATGATTTGTCCGTCTCTGGTATGGCCAGAATGACCACACACCTCATTTAAGTGTTTTACTAATTCTTCTGGATTTTGCAGTTGTTCGGTGGTGAAATTCCAAAGTACTGGAGGGGCCCACTGACCTAGATACTTGCCCATACTGTCCCACACACCCTGCCACTCATGACTGTCCAGCCTCAGAGAAAATCTCTTGGTCCTCCTACTTCGTCGTTTAACCCCAGACAAGACCCAAACCTGACTCTGCTTAACTTTTGAAAACAGATGAAATAGTTGTGGGCAAAATACACTCTGTATACGTGCCAACATGGTGATCCCCATCACAATCAGCAAACAAGTCTCAACAGCATTAAGAGGCCATTCAAAACTCTCAAATGATGCTGTAAATGCTCTGGGGGGAGGACTGGGAGGGTAAAAGAATGTCTCCTCCACAGGTTGACCACCCGAGAACGAGAAAAAAGATGTGCAATCACTAAGCACTTTTATTATATACCTCCCAACGTATAAAGGTGGTGACCATACTGGGAACATAAGCCAGATAAGTTTCATGATCAATAATTCTATTGTATTACAAGTCATTACCATAAAGTACAATGAGACAAAAACCTTAGCCCAAGCCCCACACTTGAAAAACACTAATACAGCAAATACCAGATGGAAGTAAGGTACGATATCCTGAAACTGTGAGATCAAGAGGAACAACTTTGAGAGCCAATAAATCAGCATTGTGACGAGTGACTATCAATTCCGTCAGATCTGTCGTTATCTCAACCCCTTTGTGCCCCACGTTGGACACAGAGCACACTATTTTGACAATTAAAACTACATTCATTTGAATTCATGGCTGTGTTTGCAGAAGCAACCTTTTCTTGCTTTAAGCAGAACTGCAGCATAACTTACAAGTTTTGTGCATCAATAATTTATTAGCATCATCTTAAACAGAGATGCAAATAAAGTAGTTCAGTATTATGTCAGTGATCAGTTTCTGTGTTGCTCTGGTAGTGCTTCCACTGCAGCTTTTTCAATCCTATGGTTTATAGACTAACCAAAACCTTTCTCCCTCCAAAAAAATAAAATTACCAAAAGCCTCCCCACTGTTTTAACCCAGCACTTACATTGCATTCACTTCAAGATGTCTCCGTATACTCTAATTGAGGTTTTCTTTTGTTCAGATTTGAATGTTGGATTTAAGTGTATATATACTCCTTTTAAGCAAAAGTATTGATATATCAGACTTCATTCTTTCAGTGGACAATTTCTAGGGAGGTTTAAGGGATTTGCTTAAAACCATATCTTTAGCTCTCCAAAATAAAGAAATCTTTTATACTGCTCAGTTAGGAGTCAATTCCTTTTCTTCCCAAATTCCCATACTGCATTAAAAGCAGAGACTGTCCTCAAGCATAGCTCTTAGCTTGTGCTAATAGAGAATTCAATTGGAATCTATTAAAAAAGCAGAAAAGTCTTGTTTTTTCCACTCAAAGCTGTTTTTAACAGTTTTACTACACAAACACAGTAATCTTACTCCTGCAAAGTTTTTTCCACTACAAGTTCCAAAATATTTTTCATCCCTTAAATGTGTGTTCTGCAGCTGTTTTATTCTGCAGAATGCACTCTGACTATTTCTTTCTGTCAGGTACTATCCACTGCATCCAACACAGCAACCTAACGAACTCCTTCTAGTCCATATAAAATAGGACACAGACCAAAATTACTTTATAGCTGACAAAGAGCAAATAGTATCATAGCACAAACTGTAAAACTTCTATATGTTGTCAGTGATTTCCCCACAATAAGCAGGCAAGCAGGACCAAATGAGGAGATTGAACTTAGGTGACATTCCTTGTTCAACAGCAGACTTTGATGCAATACTAAAATCAGTTTATTAGTCTTTATGACTTAGGAGCTCCACAGCTGAGGAGGAGAAAAAGGAAAATTTGGGTTCAACTTGCAGAGAACATATCTACAATAGCAGTGAGAAGCCTGTATGTATGGCTTCCAAGCCAGACAGAAATAGTGTATTAGTGAAAGAAGAGAAATGGTTAACTCTAAATTTAAAAGCAAAGGTTTTTCCTCTTACCTGTATTCAGCTCCCCATCCTTTAACAAAACTCATTCTTATGGTACACATCCTAGTAAGTTGATAAACTGCTTCAAAACCCTGATTCACAGATTGAGCCAGAAGAGCAGCAAATTCTTGGTTATTAAAGATTTTTAGATTGCATCCTATGAAGAACAGAAAAAATATCAAAAGGGTACAAACAATGAATGTTTGCATTTGCCACTCAGAAGCCTAAAACTATGAAGAAACTATCAATAGGATAGCAAACATCATTCAATGAGTACATTCACTGGATAGTTTCACACAAGACCTGTGGTAGGCTACTAACCTGGAGGAATTTTGCACACAGTTGCAGGATGCCAGCCATATCTTTGATTACAGTTTGGGCTCTGAACAAAAATTGCACTATCACTTAGGCACTCAGCAAAAACTTCTCCACCGATGTAATAGAGACGCACTCCCCTTCCTGTAGCAAAATTCAAAGGAACTGTAGTTATTATATGACCCAAGCAGATTAACAAACAAGGGAGTATTTTGTTTCAGGACCACACTGCTGGGCTCACAGCTGTAGCAGGTCCAGAACACAATTAACTTGCATTTTTCTTCCATGAACACACAAAATTTGAAGGAGAAGCAGAATAATTTTTGGTCAAGAGTGAGACAATTTTTTTTATTTTTTTTTAGCCACATAATGGTTTGTAGCCAAATCCAAGTTAGGAAGCAGTGCTCATTCCTAAACAACTTTTTAATTTAAATAAATACTGAAATTGAAGCTGAAAGATTAGATTTAATAGAATTGAAACCTCTGCTAATATTGAAGTGTGGTATATGAAGTGGCACAGGCCTCTATGGCAAAAAAGGAAAACAAGTATACCAATTCAACACTCCCCACTTATGTGCCCACACTATTTCACAACCCACTGCATACCCCTTCTCTATACTACAGAGACAACAGGACTTCATTTAGCCCTATTACAAAAAAATACCCTTAAGAAATCCTATGTTCACGTTTAAATTGTTCTCTCTCTCTCTCCAAGTGGAAAGAACAAAACAAACTACGTGGGTTATTTCTAGCAGAATCACAGAATCAACTAGGTTGGAAAAGACCTTTAAGATCATCAAGTCCAACCATTACTGCCAAGACCATCACTACACCATGTCACAAAGTGCCTCATCTACATCTCCTTCCTTCTTCATTCCAGCAGGGATCATCTGTCCCAGCTGTGTACCCCCAGCCTATTTGCTGGTTGAGCTGGTGTGAGAGGCAGAAAAGGCCTTGGCTCTGAGTAAACACTGCTAAGTAAATAGCATCCGTGAATTATCAACACTGTTTTCAGAATAAATCGAAAATATAGCACCATGCTACCCACTATGAAGAAAATAAAATTTATCCCAGCCCAAATCAGCACAAACATTCAAAGTTGTAAACTCCTCTCCCAAAGAAGGCTATTTATACTTTAAAGGTACTTTAAAGGCCACAGTTTCCCTTTACCCCTTCTCTTTAAAACTGTTTTTCAAACAAGGTGAGCTGCTCTACAAAAAATGTGAGAACTCCTTACAGTTTTACTTTTTCTTATCATTGACCATTTTGATCAGTCAGCCCAAGCATAGCCTGGGTTTCTGCACATCTGAAATTTTATTAGACAAGCATTTGGGCTTGTCATAGAGAGAGTCAGAAGGTTCTACTAAAGAGACTGAACTTTTACTAAAAAAAGATTCTTTTTTACCAGAAAAGATTTCATGAATGCTGCAAAATAGAAGAATCCAGAAAAAAACCCCAAAACAACAAACCAAAACCACATTAGTTTATAGAAGAACTTAAAGCCAAGATGCTGCATTGTAGAAAACAATATTCTTTACTAACCATTACAAAAATGTTAATTATGTCAAAATAGCATGTTATTTCAATGAAGCTTTTCCCATTTCACAAAAGAATTCAAGAAGTACTACCAATGTCCATTCTGCATTTTAAAAATTAGAATAAACTAACAAACATGTAAATATTTTTTAATTGAACCTTAAATTTCAAGTCCACAGGAGGCCACGAGGATGCTCAGGGGACTGGATAACCTCCCGTACGAAGATCGGCTGAGAAAGTTGGGGCTGTTCAGCCTGAAGAAGAGAAGGCTGCGTGGAGACCTCATAGCAGCCTTCCAGTATCTGAAGGGGGCATACAGGGATGCTGGGGATGGACTCTTCATTAGGGACTGTAGTGGTAGGACAAGGGGTAATGGGTTAAAACTTAAACAGGGGAAGTTTAGATTGGATATAAGGAGGAAATTCTTTCCTGTTAGGGTGGTGAGGCACTGGAATGGGTTGTCCAGGGAGGTTGTGAATGCTCCATCCCTGGCAGTGTTCAAGGCCAGGTTGGACGAGGCCTTGGGTAATATGGTTTAGAGCGAGGTGTCCCTGCCCATGGCAGGGGGGTTGGAACTTGATGATCTTAAGGTCCTTTCCAACCCTAACTATTCTATGATCACAGTATCACAGTATGTTAGAGATTGGAAGGGACCTCAAAAGACCATCTAGTCCAATCCCCCTGCCGGAGCAGGAACACCTAGATAAGGTTACACAGGAACGTGTCCAGGCGGGTTTTGAATGTCTCCAAAGAAGGAGACTCCACAACCTCCCTGGGCAGCCTGTTCCAGTGTTCTGTCACCTCACTGAGAAGAAGTTTCTTCTCAAGTTTAAGTGGAACCTCTTGTGTTCCAGTTTGTACCCATTGCCCCTTGTCCTATCATTGTTTGCCACTGAGAAGAGCCTGGCTCCATCCTCGTGACACTCCCCCTTTATATATTTATATACACTAACAAGGTCACCCCTCAATCTCCTCCAAACTATAGAGACCCAGCTCCCTCAGTCTTTCCTCATAAGGGAGATGCTCCACTCCCTTAATCATCTTAGTTGCCCTGCACTGGACTCTCTCCAGCAGGTCCCTGTCCTTCTTAAACTGAGGGGCCCAGAACTGGACACAATATTCCAGATGCGGTCTCACCAGGGCAGAGTAGAGGGGAAGGAGGACCTCTCTCGACCTACTAACCACCCCCCCTTCTAATACACCCCAGGATGCCATTGGCCTTCCTGGCCACAAGGGCACAGTGTCAGCTCATGGTCACCCTGTCGTCCACTAGGACCCCCAGGTCCCTCTCCCCTACACTGCTCTCTAACAGGTCATTCCCCAACCTATACTGGAACCTGGGGTTGTTCCTGCCCAGATGCAGGACTCTACACTTTCCCTTGTTATATTTCATCAAGTTATTCCCTGCCCAACTCTCCAGCCTGTCCAGGTCTCGCTGGATGGCAGCACAGCCTTCTGGCGTGTCAGCCACTCCTCCCAGCTTAGTGTCATCAGCAAACTTGCTGATAGTACACTCAATTTCCTCTTCTAAATCATTGATGAATATATTAAATAATACTGGTCCCAGTACCGACCCTTGAGGCACTCCACTAGATACAGGCCTCCAACTAGACTCCGCCCCATAGACTACAACTCTCTGGCTTCTCTCCTTCAGCCAGTTCACAGTCCACCTCACTACCTGATCATCCAGACCACACTTCCTCAATTTAGCTGCGAGGATGCTGTGGGTGACTGTGTCAAATGCTCTGCTGAAGTCAAGGTAGACCACATCCACCGCTCTGACATCATCCATCCACCGTGTTATTTCCTCATAAAAGGCTATGAGATTGGTCAAGCATAACATCCCCTTGGTGAAGCCATGTTGACTGCCCCTCATAACCCTCTTATCCTTGATATGCCTTAGGATAGCACCAAGGATAAGGTGTTCCATCACTTTCCCAGGAATGGAGGTGAGGCTGACTGGTCTATAGTTACCCGGGTCCTCCTTCTTGCCCTTTTTGAAGACGGGAGTGACATTTGCTTTCCTCCAGTCCTCAGGCACCTCTCCCATTTCCCAAGACTTGGTAAAGATGATGGAGAGCGGTCTAGCAATGACCTCCGCCAGTTCCCTCAGCACCCGCGGGTGCATCCCATCTGGACCCATGGATTTATGGATGTCCAGATTGCTCAACTGGTCTCTAACCCATTCCTCATCGACTAAGGCAAAACGCTCCGTTGACCTGTCTTCATCTGAGGTCTCAGCGGTACAGGGCTCTTCAGGACTGCCTCCAGCAGAGTAGACAGAGACAAAGAAGGCATTCAGTAACTCTGCCATCTCTGTATCTTCTGTCACCAGGGCACCCATCCCGTTCATCAGTGGGCCTACATTGCCTCTGGTGTTAGTTTTATCTGCCATGTATTTGAAAAAGCTCTTTCTGCTGTCCTTGACCCCTCTCGCCAGCTTTAATTCCAAGGAGGCCTTAGTCATCCTAGCTGCTTTCCTACATCCTCTAGCAGCAGCCTTATATTCCTCCCAAGTGGCCAGCCCTTCCTTCCATGACCTGTAAACTCTCCTCTTCCACTTGAGCATACCGAGCAATTCCCTATTTAGCCACGCAGGTCTCCTGACCCTGTTCCTTGACTTCCTACGTGTCGAGATGCTCTGATCTTGAGCTCAGAAAAAGCAGTCCTTGAACGTCAACCAACTATCTTGGGCCCCTTTACCTTCAAGCAGCCTAGTCCATGGAATTTCCCCTAGCAATTGCTTGAAGAGGCCAAAGTTTGCCCTGCTAAAGTCCAGGGTTGCAATTCTACTTGCTATTCTACTGTCCCTACCACACAAGATCCTGAATTCCACCATCTCGTGGTCACTGCAACCAAGGCAGCCCTCAACCTTCACTCCTTCAACCAGACCCTCCTTGTTAGTGAGGATGAGATCCAGCAGCACACCTCTCCTGGTTGGCTCATCCACCATTTGCATGAGGAAGTTATCATCCATACACTGGAGGAACCTCCTGGACTGCGGCTGGGTTGCTGAGTAGTCCTTCCAGCAAACATCAGGGAAGTTAAAATCCCCCACGACGACCACAGCCTGTGACTGTGAGTCCGCTCTCAGCTGCCTGTAGAAGGCCTCGTCAACTTCCTCACCCTGATCTGGTGGCCTGTAACAGACCCCCACAACAGTATCGCCCCTGCCAGCCTGCCCCTTAATTCTCACCCACAGACTCTCAACTCGCTCATCATCTGTCCCCGGACAGAACTCAATGCATTGTAGCTGCTCTCGCACATAAAGAGCAACCCCACCACCCCACCTGGCTGGCCTGTCTTTCCTGAAAAGGACATAGCCCTCCATGACTATATTCCAGTCATGTGAGCTGTCCCACCACGTCTCTGTAATTGCCACCAGGTCATAATCTCCTGACTTAACACAGGTTTCTAGCTCCTCCTGCTTATTTCCCATGCCCATGATTCTATGATTCTATTCACAACTCTGTATATAAATGCTACCCAGGGAAGAGTGTCCAATGAGGAGCCTGAAAGCCAAAAACCTGCCCCTTGGAATGCTTTGTTTCATCATCATCGTCCAGAAGGCAGAGAACAGCAACACAAGCAACAGAAATCCCATATAGTTGAGTGGCTTCCTTCTTTGACCCTCTCAGCTGTGTGACTGTTCCTGCCACCAACTTAGTGACTAGTGATTGAGGAAAGGCAGCTCCTTTCAGCTCCAGACATCACTACATCTCTTCCAAATTGCAAGTGGCTGCTACATCTTTTCCCCAGTTTTAGAAATGGTGACCTCTGTGTCTTTCTATTTCCATCCTTAGTAAGGGAGGCCAAGCTCTACTTGGGAAGTCTCAAGAGAGAAGTTCAATGACAGGCTGCACAAGGGTGATAGGCTCCCAGCAAACAGCTTTGCCCATCCTATCTGTATCGTCCCAGATAACTTAATGGCTAAACCAAAATGAAACAGTTAAAGGTAATCAAACTTAAAATTAAACAGGTAAAGATCAGAAGTTTTTACCTATATGTCGCCTTGTCATTTCCACTGTAGCATTTCTGTTTACATTGGAAAGCAGACCTAGACAAAATCGTTCTGAATTTGATGGATCTGTAAAGCCATCTACAGTCAGGGAAGGCTGTGATGCATGAAAGGTTTCTCCCACTCTTTGATTCAATTCATAATATGCTATTGAACACCAGAACGCGGGCTCCGAGTAGGTAACTGGCTGCAAGTCTAAAAAAAAAAAAAAAAATTTAAAACCAAGCTTAACAGAATTTGAGGCTGAAAAGAAATTGCTTTGCCCTGAGGCTAAGGACTTGGGGGTGCTGGTCGATGAGAAAATGAACATGAGCCGGCTTCAGTGTGCGCTTGCAGCCCAGAAAGCCAACCGTATCCTGGGCTGCATCAAAACGAGCGTGACCAGCAGGACGGAGGAGGTGATCCTGCCCCTTTATTCTGCATTCATGAGACACACCCCACAACACCCCGCTCAGAGCACTGTGTTCAGGTCTGGGGCCCCCAAGACAAGAAGGATGTGGACATGTTGGAGCAAGTCCAGAGGAGGCCAAAAAGATGCTCCAAGGCCTTGAGTACCTTTTGTATGAAGACAGACTGAGAGACCTGGGGTTCTTCAGCCTGGAGAAGGCTCAAGGGAGACCTTAGAGCAGCCTTTGAGTACTTAAAGGGGCCAACAAGAAAGCTGGAGAGGGACTTTTCACAAGGGCCAGTAGTGACAGGACAAGGAGTGTTGGCTTTAAACTGACAGAGGGGAGATTTAGATTAGACATTAGGAAGTTCTTCCCTATGAGGGTGGTGAGACATTGGAACAGGTTGCCCACAGTAGTTGTGGATGTCCCATCCCTAGAAGTGTTCAAGGCCAGGTTGGAACTAGATGATCTTTAAAGTTTCTTTCCAACTCAAACCAGTCTATAATTCTATGCTATTCATCTCTTCCAGAAACTGTGGTAGTCTCCTCAAACTACTCAAATTATATTTTCCTTGCTGTCATTTTTACCTACCCCAAACAGAAGGGAATTCAATATTCCACACAAAGAAAGGAGAGGAAGAAGGGTGACCTAATATGGCCACAGCTCACATAGTCCTGTACTTGCATTCTGCTTGGCAAAATGATTAGGCTAATGTTGCAGAGTGCGCCAGACAGTGAGACACTTCTGTTGCCTTTCTATAACTTGCAAATATTTTGGTAACATTAAAGAAGAGATTAAGCTATCAGACACTGAACCACACAAAGGAAAGAAATATTAATATGAAAATTATGCTCCCCTTTATTACACTGGACCTTATACTGTCTCTATAGAGTAAGGCAGTTCTAAGCTCTTTTTACCCTCCCCTACTAGAGCTCAGTACCTTCCCCAGGCAGGCATCTTCAGCTTTTCCTGAACTGCTTCCCATTTTCATTTACCCTAATTACTTACTCAGCATTCTGAACAGCATTTTCCTGTCAAATCCTGTCACCAAACCCAAGGGAATCTGATTTTCCTGGGTCATTTACACAGGCACCCAACAATGGCACCTGATCAAAGCAGGTGGGCAACTAATGTGGGAGCAACAACTGTGTTGTGGTTACAGGTGAAACAGTACATGAGAAGAGCAGCAAGCACACATACAAGGGAAACAGTCTGGACAGCACTATGGATAGTCTAACATCCTTTAAACTATTTCTTTTATAAATGCTACTCCTGCATACACAACCATATTATTCCTTCTCTTTGGTAGAAACTCAACAGTTACAGAAATAGATAATTTGTTAAGTTATTAACCCAGCCTTATTATATTTATCATCAGGAAGCCAACTCAATAATCTCCTGCCAATACAATGCTTATTTTCAAGTACATTATAATTTTAATGTAATTACATATATAAAGAAGAGTCATCACACACAGAGAAACAATTAAAAATATTTACAGCTTACCCAGGCTATGATTAACTGGGGAGAGATTACTAGGAGACAGCTCTGCTGGAGATCCTGTTGAAGCAATACAGATTGTTTCAGAGCAAATGATTTTTGTTATTCCAGATGGGTAGGTATAACCATTATCGATAGTTTTACATTAAAATTCTTTGGAATAAGAAACCTCAGATATCCTACAACCAGTTTTCCAGCATGTCACATACTTATTCTGAATTAAGATTACATTTAATTTTCCAGACTCCTAGGAACCTACCCCTCCATGTAAAGACTCAATTAACATCTTAGTGTTGTATTTGGCAGAGTTCACTTCATGCACTCTGTGAACATATCTTTATTTATGCATTTCTCCAGTGAGAACGTAGTGACTTCCCAAATTCAGTAGAAAAAAGCTAAGATAAAGTGGATAAAGCAAGAAAGATATTGCTTCTCTATTCTCAAAGGAGAGGGCTTGTCTCTACAAAAGAACAAGCTAGATTTCTTCATTTGAGGAAATTATTCTTTCCTGGAAGGAGGAAGGAAGAAACTCAAAACCATGAACTCTCCAACACAATTTGCACATTAGTAGGCAAAATACAGAGAAGCTTTATGCAGAAGCATTCCTACAACGACTGATGTCCAGATTTATTAAAGTACCTATTGTTACACAGAGGGAAAATATTGTAGCTCTTACAGAAACTACCACAGTTGTTTCAAATTAACTGGAAAAGGCTACTAACATTACCTAATCAAGCACACTCAAATCATCCAGCATACAGCAGGAGGTTCTTATCCAGCACATTAACAGTCTTTGTCCAAATTTAAGGCCAACCAGATTATCTAGAAATCCTTTCAGAGGTACAAGTACTTAATGTCTCTAAGTACTTTTTCAATAGAGCTTTCCATACAAGAATTAATTTGAAACATGGCAGAAGTGGTAAGGTTGTCGGAGCTCACAGAATTGTAGACTTGTTAGGGTGGGAAGGGACCCCTGGAGATCATCTAGTCCAACCCTAGAGCAGGTCACATAGAGCAGGTTACACAGGAACATGCCCAGGCAGGTTTGGAATGTCTCCAGAGAGGGAGACTCCACGACCCCACTGAGCAGCCTGTTCCAGTGCTTCGCCACCCCATCCTTGTTGACCCATTCTGCCATGTCATCATAAAAGGCTATCAGATTAGTCAAGCATGATTTCCCCTTGGTGAATCCATGCTGAATACTCCTGATCATGACCCTTTGTCATAAAAACCAAAACAGTTGTGACAGGGTCTCAAAATGCATCATTTCTGTAACTTGTTTAAGACTTCAATGAACTTATGTCCAGAAAGTAAAGTTAGGGGTACACTGAAACCAGTCTGCTATTAAAATCTGCTTTAAGCCTTTACAATGAAGACTTAGAGCTGTATGCTTTTGCTGTGAAATAAATAAAGTGTACTTAATATGTCAACAAATGTTTTGAAAGCATTCCCCTAGGAAAAAATTATTTTGTTCACAAAAGACTGAAATGGATATTTTAAACAGAAAACACAAGGATGTACAGAGGGCTACTGCCATCACTGTTCAGGCTGAATTCATTCCACTATGCAGAGAGGATCACAACTAGCAATCTCAAGCCCTGAAAGCAATAAAAACCAAACATTACCTGTGTCCATGCTTTGGTTCAACTGTTGGTCACTTGTTTCTCCATCTTCACTGATATATCCTGGAGGTGGTGTTTCTGTCAATAAAAAAAAATAAATAAAATAGTCCACCTACTGGTTTAATGCCTGGGAAAATGTATAGGATTTAGCATTTGGTGTTTTCACCCTTAAGTCTTCACAAACTCCATATGATGCATGAATACTGAATTAGAATTTCATTTTGCTGCCCCTTTTTCCTTCCAGTTGGACTTCAAACACATTATTTGTCTTACTGTATATGTAATATTTATCTTCTCTTCTATTGCCAGTCAACTGCTCAAATGTTACATAATTAACAGACAATCCTCATTTGTTCCATTTAAGATAAAATACTTTTACTCCAACAAGTAACAATGTCGTAATTCTGATCAACAGCTTTCACACCTATTTGAATTACAGATGAAAAACAATCTGGTGACTTCTGGAAAAAAAAAAGAAAAAAGAGCTGTCTGTGTAGTATAACCATCATATCAGATGCCCTCCCACACATTACAGAAGTTGCTGGATGTAAATGTTATTTTTCAATTTAGTCCCCAAATCCATTTTTCTTCAATACCCAACAGTTGATTTCACTCAATAATAACTATGTTATGTAACTATTTACACTGCAAAAGTTCTATTGCCATTATTACTTTCAAGCTCTATTAAAATGATCACCTATTCTTTTACCTAGCTTTATTTAAAGATAGAATTTCAAATACCAAGTAAACTCAATACCAAGTTTGAAGCATTTGGATACTAGAAACAATGGCCAATTCCACAGAAATAACTTCAAAACCCAGGAAAGTATGTATGTTCCTCATCTCCATTCAAAATGCACTTTGCAATCCAGATAATGAGTTAAATAACTGCCCTTTAGGTGTCCTGGCTTCAGGCTGTAACAGTTACTTTTTTCTTCCTAGTAGCTGGTGCAGTGCTGTGGTTTTGACTTTCAGCCTGGGAACAGTGCTGCTAACACCGATGGGTTTAGTTGCTGCTCAGTAATGTTTACCCTGACCAAGGACTTTGTGAGCCTCATGCTCTGCCAGGGAGGAGGGGAAGCCAGGAGGAAGCAGAGACAGGACACCTGACCCAAACTAGCCAAAAGGGTATTCCATACCACAGCACGTCATGTCCAGTATAGAAACTGGGGGCAGTTACCTGGGAGGCTGGGGTCGTGCTTCAGGTTAGGCGGGGTATCGGTCGGCAGGTGGTGTGCGGTTGTATTCTCTTCCCTTGTTATTTCCCCTATTATTATTATTGGTGGTAGCAGTAGTGGTTTGTGTCACACCATAGTTACTGGACTGTTCTTATCTCAACCTATGGAAGTCACATTCTTTCCATTCTCCTCCCCATCCCTTTGGAGCGGGGGGAGGAAGAGTGGGGGGATTGAGCAAGCGGCTGCATGGTTCTGAGTTACCAGCTGCACTTAAACCATGACAATTCTTTATGGCGCCCAACATGGGGAACGATGGCTTGAGATAACAACAGATCTGACCAGAGTTTTTCTAATCGCACTTGTGATAAGCATTCATTGTTTCGGATTAATAGTCGCTTGTCACAATGCTGATGTATTGGCTCTCAAGTTGTTGCTCTTGATATCGGAGTTTTAGCATGTCATACCTTACAGTCAGTATTAGCTGCTTTAGTGCTTGTCGGCTGGAGGGTTTGGCTAAGGTTCCTGTTTCACTGTACTTCATGGCAATGACTTGTAATACAACAGACTCATTGATCATGAAACTGATCTGGCTTGCGTTCCCAGTGTGGTCATCACCTCTATACTTTGGGAGGTGTATAATAGAAGTGTTTAGCAATTACACATCTTTTTTTTCCTCCTCGGGTAGTCAACCTATGAAGGAGACATTCCCTTACTTTCCCAGTCCCCCCAACAGACTATTTTTAGCATCATTTGAGAGTTCTGAAGGTTTTGAATGGCCTTTGGGTACCCTTGAGACCTGCCTGCTGATTGTAATGGGGATCACCATGTTAGCACACATTCAGAGTGTGTTTTACCCATGACCATTTCATCTGATTTCTAAAGTTAAGCAGAGTCAGGTTTGGGTCTTGTCTGGGGTTAGTCAATGATATAGGAGGACCAAGAGATTTTCCCGAAGGCTGAATAATCACAAGTGGCAGGGTGTGTGGGACAGTATGGGCAAGTATCTCTGCCAGTTGGCCTCTCCAATGCTTTGGAACTTCACCACTGAACAAGTGCAAAATGCAGAAAAAATAGTAAAAAATTTAAATGAGGTGTTTGGTCATCCGGGTCATACCAGCGGGGGACACCGTGCTGGTGCTTGGCCTATTCTTACAGAGCCCTGTCAACACTACCCAGGACCTTCAAAGTCAAAAATATGTCTCTGGATCTGATGGCAAAGCAACAGACAGTACAGCTACTCCATCTCCAACCACAGCAACTACACCAGCACCAGCAACAAGTACAGCAGCTACTCAAACTCTGACTACAGAACACAGTGCAGCTAATCCAGCTCCAAGACCAGCAGCTACAGCAGCCCCAGTGACAAGTACAGCAGCTACCCAAACCCTGACAACAGATACTGCAGCCACTCCAACCACAGTGATAATCACTGCAGCTAAACCAGAGGACCAATTAGTGCCAATATTGGTTGTCCCTGTACGCAAGGGGAAAACAAAAAAGAAACAATGCACTTACTATCCAGGACAGCATCTGATTTAGTCATTATCACATGAATTAGAGGAAGAAGGAGAGGTGACTTCTCGACCTTGGACCTCAACTGAGCTACGGAATATGCAAAAAGATATTACCCATCAACCAGGGGAGCACATCATCACCTGGTTGCTCCGATGCTGGGACAATGGGGCCAACGGTCACGAACTAGAAGGTACAGAAGCCAAGCAGCTGGGACCACTTGCTAGGGAAGGGGGGATTGACAAAACAATTGCAAGAGAGAAACGGTCCCTCAGTTTTTGGAGTCGGCTCTTGGCAGCTGTGAAAAAAAGGTTTCCATACAAGGACGATGTTATGAGTCGTTCAGCCAGGTGGGCTACTACAGACAAAGGCATCCAGTCTCTGACGGAATCAGCCATCATCGAGATGATCTATCGCAGACCAGATGTCACGAATGCACTCGTAGATCCAGATGAAGTCAAATGTACATGATCCATGTGGTGGAAAATTACATGGAATGCACCATCATCATATGCCCATTCATTGGCAACAGTAACCTGGAATGACACAGTACCACTAACAGTGGATGGAATGGTTCATAAACTCCGCGAGTTCGAAGACAATCTCACCCCTTCCATCATCTCAGCTGTGGAAAAACTGTCCCAGGATCTCAAACAATTGAGGGGAGGGACGATATATCTGACTTATCCAGCTCCTCGCGTGTACCAACACACGTTTCAGCTATTAACAAAACGCATCCCACTGTTCGAGAGAGGAGATACAAGAGGTATACGCCACGGTCTACCCAATGGTTTTACCTGCAGGATCATGGAGAAGACATGAGAAAGTGGGACAGAAAACCTACCTCAGCTTTGGAGGAATGGGTGAGTGAATGGAAGAGGGGAGCAAGGGCCAAGACTGATCGTCCCATGAGAGCTACGGCTTCAGTTTCTGGTGAGCAGTTTCCCAGGTGGAGTGGAAGAGCTGATTTCACTCCAGCTCCTGTGATAACTAAAAATAATCGCTTTCAACATGACTTAAGTGTCCAATCCTGTGATGACTATTAGAGGGGCCCTGCCTCCAGCCAGGTGGAGGTAGGGGACAATCGGATTTACTGGACTGTGTGGATCAGATGGCCTGGCACATCAGTCCCACAGAAGTATAAGGCTCTAGTAGATACCAGTGCACAGTGTACCCTGATGCCATCGAGCTGTCAAGGGGTGGAACCCATCTATATTTCTGGAGTGACAGGAGGATCCCAAGAGTTGACTGTACTGGAGGCTGAAATCAGCCTGACTGGGAGAGAATGGCAAAAGCACCCTATTGTGACTGGCCCAGAGGCTCCATGCATCCTTGGCATAGACTACCTCAGGAGAGGGTACTTCAAAGACCCAAAAGGGTACCGATGGGCTTTTGGTATTGCTGCTTTGGAGACTGAGGAAATTGAGCAGCTGTCCACCTTGCCTGGTCTCTCAGAGGATCCTTCTGTTGTGGGGCTGCTGAAAGTCGAAGAACAACAAGTGCCAATTGCGACCACAACAGTGCACCGGCGGCAATATCGCACCAACCGAGACTCCCTGATTCCCATCCATCAGCTGATCCATAGACTGGAGAGTCAGGGAGTGATCAGCAGGACCCGCTCGCCCTTTAATATCCCCATATGGCCAGTGCGAAAGTCTAACGGGGGGAGGAGACTAACAATAGACTATTGAGACAAGGGGGGGCACGAAATTACAAAATGGTATATAGAAATCTTTAGAAGTAGCTTTAAGTAGTGTTAAGTTTGATGGCTTTGTAACAGTAGCAATGGAAAATTACTCAGGTGCAGGGTACATAGAGAAAAATATATAAAGAGAGTGCAGCTAGAGAACATACTGAGAATTCTCACAAGATAAATCGTTATAGTTGACATAGCTTTAAGAAAAAACAGCCTACAAAAACAGGACACAGGGATAAGGGGTATCTGGGAACTGCAGGTGTCCAGGATGGGCTACAGTTGAACTAACAGATAAGTAGGAGGATGGGAGGATTATTATGTCTCTGGTGCTAACGAACCAATTAAACTGGTATGAGCATCTACTGCGCGTGCTTCAAAGGCTGCCAGAAGTGATGAAGATCGTTGGAAGAAGTAAACGACCCTCAGAGACCACCACCACAATTCTGTACGCATGCGGGGAACTCTCTGGAAAATGATGTAATCCATATGTAGCCTCATGAATATGTATGTATGCCCAGGGGCTATAAAAGGACAGCTTGTGGGGCAATTAGGGAGATACACGCTAGGTGGAGTTATCCCCCGTGTCTCCCGGCGCCGTAATAAAGAATACCTGCTTGTCAGCTTGAAAACTTTGTTGGCAAGTTTGTTCCTGGAGTTTTCTCCGAATCAATTTGGCGACCCAGATGGGACCCTCTCTGCTCGGCTGCAGGAC